AGCTTTATCTGACCGATTCATTTGATTCTCGATCCGGATTGTCGATTCGTCGATCCGGATCGGTTTTTTGGAAGCCCGATCCGGATCACCGATCCGTTTTTTAAACCATTGATTTAGACTATAGAAAAATCAGAGTCCATGTGGTTATAAACTTATTTAACTGTTCAATTGATAACTGTCCTATCCATGTATGGATGGTGATTGTGAGCGAGTTGGACCCGCTAGAACATGACATGATACGATGGTGGAACCCACTTATTTCGATCATTGATTGTTGGGATGATTGTAGGGAGAATTGTTAAGACTCTCAAAAATATATTTTTTAGACACTCTACCCTCACTTTAAACTTTTTTTCACTTATTTTTCTCAAAAACCATCTTTTATACCTGATACCCCCAAATACCCTCCTTTCACATGACAAATTATTTTCGAATCCTAATAAAAGAAAACGCCGGACCGTATTTGTATAATGCCGACGGACAGCTCGGTCTGTCGTTTTTTTGCAAAATTTCGAACTGGCATATTAAAACATTGGACCGTAACTTTCAAATATCGCCACCATGAAACGTTGAACCGCCTGGGCCGCCACCCCAGCCATGACCAGCACCATGAAATGTCGAACCGCCCATTCTCGGACCGCCACCAGGACCGTCACCATGAAACGTTGAACTGCCCATCCATTCTCGGACCGCCACCAGGACCGTCACCATGAAACGTTGAATCGCCCATCCATTCCCGGACCGTCACCATGAAACGCTGAACCGTCCATCCATTCTCGGACCGCCACCAGGACCGTCACCATAAACGCTGAACCGCCCATTCCAGGAAAAAAAAATTGGGGGACCGGTTGGGGTGTAAAATGGGTAAAAAATCCATCTTGGGGATTTTAGCAATTTTCCCTTGATTGCATGGTGATGATGCAACCATTAATTGGACGGTGATGATTGGACTGGCTATAACCTTCAAGACTGGGGCCATAATTTTGATAGTGTATGTGGAACTCGCAATTTTCCCTTCATTGTATGGTGATGATGCAACCATTAATTGGACGGTGATGATCCGAGTGGCTACAACC